ACTGAGGGACTCGTCAGAATAGAAGGAAGCAAAATATTGAGATAGCCTTAATGAAAACCTAGTCCAGAGCATTCAGAACCTCGGACTGGGCAGAAGGATCACCTTCCAGCAGGACAATGACCCTAAGCACACAATTAGTGGCTTATGGACAACTGTGTGAATGTCCTTGAGTGGCCCAGCCACAGCCTGGGATTGAACCCAATCGAACATTTCTGAAGTAACTTGAAAATGTCTGTCGGCCTCCATCCAACCTGACAGAGCTTGAGAACTGAAGAGGTGAGGAGAATGACAGATAACTACCAAATGCAGATGTACAGAGCTGTAAAGGTGCTTAAACCAAGCACTGCGTTGGGTATGAATACTTATTTCAGTTTTTTATTTTTAATAAATTTGCTAAGTTGTCACGAATCTGTTTTTTGCTTTGTAGTATGGTGTATGGAGTGTAGATTCATGTGGAAAAAGTAATTTAAAGCAGTGGCAGCAACAACAAAAGATGAAAAAATGAAGGGGTATGACAACCTTCGCAAGACCCTATATATATATATATATATATATTAGGGTTGGAACAATAAATCAATGCATCCCGATTCGTGGATCGATTATGAGATTTTCGGAATGCATTGTGATTCTCTCTCGAATCGATTCTGAGCTCAGTTTTTAACAGCAGATGGCACACTAGGCTAACACTCAAATGCTCACGAAGAAGAGCGCTTGTGTGTTCGGCTGAGTAATGTAAGTGGTTAAATGTACTTGCACATCGGCTTTTCTGCTTTTATGATGCAAGATTAATGTAAACAGCCCACTGTGAGCATCCTTGTAATTCGCTTCAACCTTTTCGAACTTTATGAATGATTATTTTAGGTTCAAATGGTGCATGTGTAAGGAACTGGAAGCAAGCAGAATACAGCTATTTCTAAAGCACGCAGTGCCATCTGCTGTTAAAAACTAAGCTCAGAATCGATTCAAGAGAGAATCACGATGCCTTCGGAAAATCTCAGAATCGATGCAGAATCATTTCTCGATTCGCGATGATTTATTGTCCCAGCCCTAATATATATATATATATATTATAATTTCTCATATAAATGTTTTTTTAAAAATCCTAATATTATTATTAATACTAATGTTTATAAACACTTGGATTAGGGCCTTGGGCACTTGTAAACATGTCTGCCATTGAGACCGCAGCATCTGTTCTCCCAGCAGGCCACTGCTCACAAAACTGACAAGTGTAATGGGACCCTAACACTATTCACAGAGACAGACAGAGTCAAGGGCACATAGAAAGACCAAGTGCTTATAGGTTTGACATGGCACCTGTCAGATAACAAATTAACTTGTGTGGTGAACGACTGTAAAGCAGGGACAGATTTATGCAAGGTTTATCGAGACCTCGCCGTGATTACGGGGTGGTTTCATCTGTTGATTATGTTGAGGGGCTGATCTAGGTCGCGATTCTGGCAGAGAAGCGCGTGAGCAGTTAAGAGAAGAGAGATGGACATGCCCAAAGGACTCTTGGATCAGTTTAGTGATCAGCTGAGCAGATCTGGCAGATAAAATTGCATTTGTGTTGTTGGCAGATGGAAAGAGGATCCAATTTCCCCAGAACGTTTCAGTGAACATGACTCACCTTTAACAGAATGACTACAAACCTATTACTGACAAGCATGATCATTTCCAAAGCCTGATCTCCACACACAACTCTAATCTGTGTAAGCTCATGCAGGTTTGACAGACACTAGGATGGAAAACATTAAAAGAAGCATTATAAAATAGAAATACTTATTTAAATTATATGCTCAGGGTAAAAATTTTACCTTAAGATTTATTTCATTAGAGCTTCTCTGATCTCAAATGCTCAAAAAGCCTACAAAAACATATATTTAAAATATATATATATATCATATAAAATATATAAACTTGCAAGGATATACTCTTTATATTTGTATATATAATTTATTTATAAAATGTACTTACTTGCCCAAGCCAAAATGAGTCTCCAAGTCTTTTTCCTTGCAACGTGTAGCACAACCACATAACGATGTAATAACATCAAAACAGTAAAATGTGTGACACAGCGCCCTCTAGCGGCAAGACACCAGTGCATGTTGATAAAGACCAGGGTTATTTTATTCTTTTTGGGTAACAGAAAACACATTAAAAGACTATAAATCACAATGACCTAAAGAAGAAATTAAATCAACGAAACAATAATAAAAACATTTAGGCTCATTTGGAAAACCTCAAAACGAGCCGCACCGCTTAAAAAAAAAAAACGGAGTATGAAGGAACAGCTCATGCTGGTTTAGAGCAGTGAGGAAGAGAGAACTGGTGCCGAACAGGCAGACTGCAAACCGTAGATCTTTAACATTCACCTACCTGTGTACTCAGTCTCAGCAACTACATAAGTTCCCCTAATGAAGCTTAATTTAACTCTGAAACAGAGTGGCTGAACTTCCTCAACTTTAAATAACTCGGGCTGGAGCAGGTGTAAAGCATGGCTCATTTCATCAAAATATTGAAAAACATGTTCAGTGTTTTATCCTTGAAATACGAAAATCAACAAAGAGGAAAGAAAATACAAAATAACTGTAAAACAACAATTAGTCAGTATATCCCGTTCAGAATACGAGGAAAAAAAAAACTCTGCATTTATTTCCAACTAGGCTTTTAACGGCTTTTAATGGAAAAACACCAGGTGAGA